AGGTTCCCTCACACTCCTCCAGGAGTGAGTGGTTGATTTTCTTTCTCCATCGTTTTACTCTTATTTCCACATCCTCCTCACACACCAGAGACAAAACACACACACTTATATTTATATTTATAATCTATATACGCTGTGTTTGTATAGATAACAGCAAAACAGCCAAACCTCTGAGATGCAGAAGCACTCGCCCACACCTGCAGAGCCTCAGGATGCAGGAGGTGTGTGTGCATCTTTGAGTCACTCATGCAGTTTAAAACAAAATGGTTAAAAAAATACCAGTTTACCTCGGAAGCTTTCAGCCATAGCAGACCTTAATCTCAGCGCTGCGAGCAGCTTCTGAACTGCTGTGGCTGCCGATAACGAGCAGGTTCATCGTTTTCTTGTTTTTGTTTTTTCAGGAACGAACCGCAGAGCCTCAGCAGATGCTCTCGGCCAGCTCAACTACATACACTTGCAGGGTTTTTACAAAAATAAATTAAGCAGGACACGAGCCGAGAGTCCAACAGTCTTACCTCAGAATCATGCTTACAGAGCAGCAGAAGGGGCGGGGCTTGCACGTCACCATCACAGCAACCATCAAGTACTATTTTTTCCTTCCTCTCTTGTCTCTGGTGTTGTTGGGTGAATATATCCTACAGAACTCTTGTTTTTCCTCAAACCGCACTATAAATATATAAATATCTAGACTGTATATTATAAAATAGAAGCGCTATCAAAGTTTGATTGTTAGGTGTGCACTCCAGCATGAGGTATTATACTTTGTTTACTCTTCATAACCCAAATGAAAAAGTTTTAACAGCTGCTTTTGAACGGTTTAAAAAGATAATGCAGTAGCATCCACTGATGTCAAAGAAGATACCTGATCTCACCCCCACTCCACGCGCGCACGCACACACACACACACACACACACACATCCCAGATTTCAACCCAATCACCTCCACCCAAATAACACCCACCCCACCCTGTGTACATGCCAGTGTTTCCCTCATGTGTTCCAAGTGCCAATAACTTTGTGAATTCCTAACTGTGACCCAGAAATAAAGATAATTGCACATCAACTACTGTAAAGAGCAAAAAAGAAACCAGACTGAGGAAAAATAGAAATAAACTGAAAATCTTAATAAAAAGTTTGTAACAAAATGGGCAAACCTCACTGTTCTGTCTTTGTTTTTTTTTTTTTTTATTCAGAATCAATTAAAGCTTTGGGACGTGTTACAGAAATAATTACATTCATGGTGTTTGTGTTGAGATGACCATCAGCCAAACTAACCTAACTACCTACAGCTAAACCAACTTCACAATCTGAGTCGCTTTTATGTCGGTAGCAACAGGTGAATTATGTGAGCCAGCCATGGCAGAAAACATAAACAAGCATCCTAAAATAAATGATGCTGAAGCATTTCGGAACCCCTGTGATGCCTCTGAAGACGGAAGGAATCTGAACTTGTTTGGTCTTTTTTTAATGTTTGGGAATACTGTGGTTGTGAAAAGTAAAACACGTGTATATCATGTATGTTTAAAGGGATTTTCCACCTCTAAGTGAAATTCAGTTTGTTGTCATATTCCCCAGAGTTAGACAAGTGGAAAAAAGTGTTTTCTTTCTCCTAATCCAGCAGTATTGTGTTAGCTTTAGCTTAGCATAAACAATGTAAGTGAATGGTAACAGCTAGCATTTTGTGTAAATTTTAACTTGGTGATCTCAATAATCATATCACCTGTAAATGAAACTAAGTAACACAAAGAAATTGCAGGAGCTGTTTTAGACTTGGGATTACATTTAGACAAAAGCACAGCTTCAAACCGCCGCTGCAAAGTGCAAGAACATGATGCAGCGACCACAAAAGGCTTCATCTGCCATGTTTAATTGTTGCACACTGCCCCGGGTAAAAGCCTAGTGGCTGTACATTTGTGTTTATGAAAGTATGTCTCATTTTTAAATTTGAATAATAGAAAGGCTAGCTGTTACCATTCACTTACATTGTTTATGCTAAGCTAAAGCTAACAACACTGCCAGATTAGGAGAATGGCAGGGCTGGTTTCTAAAGTAAAAATAGCGTCACTCTGAGGGCCAACGCACTTCCAGCAACAGCATCCTATATGTGAATACGATGGGATCATCATAGGTATGAGACCAAGATTCCAGAAAAATCTAAAATTCACTGAACCACACAGTGACAAGCTGATCAATACTATTTCTCTAAACTTGAGTCATTAAAAAAGTTTTCTAAAACAAGCTAATCTTTTCACCTAAACCCACTTTAATAAATCTAAATCCTCCCTGATGTTTGTCTCACCTCCACAGCTACACGAATCTTGTGGAACACCAGCTGCTATCCTGGCCGTCAGGTTATTTTCAGAATTACCAGCAGTTCATCAAAACACCAGGGACGCACGAACTCTCTGCTCATTCCAGCTCAACAAAATGTAATTGCACATGATGGTTCTGCTCTCAAAGGAGAATGTCCTGATGTTTCCATTTTGAAAAGTGCCTCTCAATTAAAACTCAGTTGAGTAACTGCTTCAATTTGGTGAAAGCATTTCAGAAAATAAAAAAATATATATCACAGACGGAAGGAGTGAGAACTCAGAATACTGATTCAAATGTGCAACTTGGCCATTTTAAGAGTCAGAAAAGTAGCAAGAAACCTTTTTTATTAGTAAAATGTGACATTAAAAAGGAAACTGAATTGTCTGAACCAGGCGTCTGCAACTGTTACAGTCTAAGATGTTTAATGTTACAAGACCTTTTGAAAATAGACCATTTCTAATTTTTATTTTGGAAAAAAAAAAGCTCAGAAATGTCAATGATCAGCATGGACAAGTCTGCTCCAGCAGACAGCAGGGGTCTTATTTCCTGATATTTGGACATTTCTCTTCTGATTGGATAACAGCAAAGTGACTCTATCACTGACTCCGTTTGCTCTGAGGCATGGATGTTTAAAACACAGGCCTGTGTGGTGGTTGAGTTGCAAATGCTAACGATTAACATTTTCTGCCGTTTGCTGGACGCTAAAACAACAGCCTTCCCCATCACGATTTTAAATGGTTGAGTCCATGAATGTGAGGTGCAGTGGCCGTTGGTGTATTATTAACGTTATTTTTTGGAGGGGTGAATTTTTGCAAGTCAGTTTTCAGATGCACTAACCACATATCACCACTAGGGGACGCCAAGTGACCATTCTTATGTATCACACAACTTGAACCCGACGGACTGGTACCAGGTCCACGAGCCCTTCCAGCAACAAAGATTTTCCAAAAAAATGGTCACCAATGTAAACTGCACATGTGACATACTTAACAGGAAGAAGCTAATCTAAATGATAGAATCCACATTTTCTACCTCAACAAACAACCAATGACAACACACTGCTAAATGAAAAGCAAAACAAAGCTAATTTCATGAAATCAAAAGCACAAATTCTGTTTTAGCTTAGCTGGTTTATTCGATTCAATTCAACTCAAAAATACATTATATTAATACCAGAGGGGATTATGGTCATAATAATCCATGTTACAGTAAAAATATCCACATTATTTGTGTAATCCAATGTCCCAATGTCACACTGAGCTGGTTCCTGAATGTTTTGGCCCTTCTTTTTTTTTTTACCTGCTAGTGTTTACAAATCTCCGAATCCGCATTCTATCATTTTCCAGTTTTCCATTGTATAAAAAAACTCCACGAGGTGTACTCAGCTGCTCTACAATAAGCTACAAAATAAAAATAAAAAAAGAACAGTGAACTGTTTTGGATGAACATCCTGATCTTAGCTGAGACTCTGCCTGGCTGGTCTTCTGCGCTTGTTGCGATGGCAAACCTCTGTGCCCAAAGGCTCTCCTATTCTTTGTATTGGAGGAGGACCCAACGCACGTGAGCCTGTTATAGCGTGGATCTATAGTAAAGATTGCCGCGCCCGAAAAGGAACAGAAAATATGTCACAAGACAATTCAGTCGTGGTAAGTCCGAAATAACATTTTAAAATACACTTAAATGCAGATTATACACAGCCCTTAGACTGTATGATGTATAAAATTGTTTAATTTTCATCTATTTTAATATTTTGTGATTCCGATTTTCCTGCGAAACTGGTGGGGTGGCACCCTAGCGCCCCCTATGGATGAGCTGCCACTGGTTAAGTGGTAGTGTGATGTAGATCTGCCAGGCTTTTCAAACCCTAGCGTTTCACTATCCCTTTAGTCTCATAAGCTAAAGCAGGAGATAGGTGTAGCAGACCATTTTCATTTTCTGCCTGCATGAAAAACTTAAGTCACCGATTAGAATTTGAAATAATTTAAAAATGTGTGTTCAGAGCTCCACACCTGTTAAAAAAATGCCAGGATTTATTTTCACTTTCGAAAAACAGAAATATTAGATCTAAAAATGAAGTCATTTTGTGTTCGTTCAATGAAAAAACCCCAAAGCTGGTTAACTGTACACTCTCTCAAGTAATTTTGTAAATACTCTGTACTAGTTTGTCTTAAGCAATAGTGACTTTTAAGTGCATTTTACTTTGTATGCAGTAGTGACTCCAACATCTTGTGTAATTATTTTAAGTGTAGTTTAATGATTTCTAGCCAAAGGTCTAAAGGTTAGAGCCCCAGGTTGGTGACCCCTGGTCTGAACTGTTGCCAGAACATTACAGATCCTCCAAACACGCGTTGTCCCAACAGCATGAGGCATCCAAATGAAAAACAACAAAATTCAAGATATTAAATGTGGTTTAGTGTTAAGCTAAATTGCTGTATATAGCACCACTCAAGATAAAAATAACGAGGCGTTTCACAGAATAAATACATTTTTAAAAATGAAAGTATAAAAATTTCAAAAATCTTTAAAAATGGTTAAAATGAGAAAAAATAAAATTGTGATTAAAAATGTTAGGACAGGGAGAGAAAATGAATAGGAAAGAGGGAAATCAGTGGATCCGGGGAAAGGTGGAAAGTAACCATTGATACAAGGGCGTGTACGGGCAAGCAGGCAAAAGTACAAAAACAATGTTTGTTTTAGTCACAATTTTATTTTTTCGTGGTGTTGTTGATGCAAACCAGGTTAAGAAAAAAAGTCAAAAAAATTAAAACATTTAATACCGTTTGGATGTTTTACAGTCAGAGTGTAGTACACACACAAATGTGAGTCTCACATTAAGCAAAAAGCAGTTAAGTTAAAAATTTACAAACACTGTTATCGTCACAGACCTCGAGTGTACTTGCATGGGGTCTGAAGAGAAAACAAATAGCGGAAAACCCACTCTTAGGAATCTGTTAAGTTCGAGAGTGAGGTCTTGAATATGCAAAAGTACATTAAGCACACATTAGGATACGTAAAAGCCCACAAACAGGGAGAAATAAAAGTCTAACAAGCTCTGATAGAGACGAAGCTTTCATTGCTTTCCCTGTCTGTAAAAAGGAAAAGCCAACCTGCCTTTAAATGCTGCAATACGAGGGCCAAACAACGGATTTATATGTTGGGATTACACAGGAATCTTTTCACTGATTCTCAATAAAAGCCTTTGTAAAGGACGAAGATCTGTTAAACACACTCAAAAAGTACATTACACCTAGTTGTTTTGGGGCGAGATACAAATGTGACTCAGAATGTCCAGCAGAGGGCGCTGCAAGTCTAAATCTGAGCCTTCCGTGGAAGCATCTTGCCCAGCAACCATTTCTTCTCATTAGCTAAAGCTTTTTAACAAAAGAGGCAAACCCATTCGCTCTGAGCCAAGGTCGCCTCTCATCACCAAGAGAGGGGAGCGCAGCTCCAGCCAATCGTGTGCTTGAACATCTGAAGGCACGCCAAGGCTCTGCAGACCTCACCTCAGTGAGACGCGTCTCAACCAGGGCGAGAAACCAAACAGTCCTCCACGCTGCAGTAATCTGAATTTCTGACAAAAGACTCAGGGACGGTGCCTTCGTGTCTGAGCCAGCATAATTAATGTTTTGACCACACACACACACACACACACACTACAGCAAGTGTTTTTCAGAAATGACTTAACACTCTCTCTTAAACCGAGACGTGTTGGTCAAGGAAATCTGATGCTAAAAGGAAAACCTGCCCATGTCTGGCTTTACTAATGATTTACGGTTTCTTACATTCTAGCTCACATGTAGGCACATGAACATACTGCACATTTCAAAAGAGTAGAAAAATATATTTAAGGCCACCCTACCTCCTCCAGTGTGAATCCCACTGGATTAAAACACAAGAGGTAAACATTTTCTCTCAAATCTGCTGTGCATCAGAATCGCTGTTTAGATCGGGTTTTTGTGATATTTATCACATTCTTGATGTTGTTGGAGCCATTTAAAAACACGTTTTAGCCCAACCTTTTCCCCGTCACGTACCATAACAACAACTGCAGTGCATAAATATGAAGTAGCATCAGATGTCCTCCAGCTAACCCATGTTTTTCTTTTCATCCTCCAAAATCTGAGAATCACACCCCAACTTTTCCCTGCAGATCATCAGTTTCTCCTCGGGGGATTAGTGGAGTGACTGGAGGAGAAAACGGGAGATGGATCCACCGTCCCTCTGCCTCCATCTGTTCATCCTGATGAGAGGAGTTGGTGATCATAGTCAAAGGGTCAGAGGTCAGGGATGTCAGAGGGCAATGATAAGGATGAGGACCACAAGTAAGATGGCGACCAGCACGCCGATGACACACCACTGTCTCCGGCCTGAAGGAGACAAGACACGAGTTTATAAATCAACTAAAATAGGCGTGAAGATGTACAAACAGATGATGACAAAGCACTTTATAGTCAACACTGAAGCAGTTTAGGTGAATGTTTGTAGTTTAAAATGATAAACAAGTGGAAATGGATCCGGTTGTGTAACCCTTCGTAGTGGAACTGGATTCCAGCTAAATTTAGCTCCGTCCTTCAGTCACTGTTTACTTTAAACACACGTCTGCTTGTGATTGGCTGAGAGTGGCGGCCCGTTCTAGTAGACACCAACTTCAGGCAACAGACTCATCATGAACACCTTCCACAGGATTTATACGCACATCACTTTAAACCCAACTGATTTCACAGATCATAGATGAGAGGGAGATACCAGACAGACAGGTTGTGGAAGCTTACTGCTCGTCATGTGAGACACTTTCTCTAGTTTTTTGAGGACGGAGTCCATCCGGGACGACGTCTGATCCATCTCGTCTCCAAAGTCCCCCAACATCCTAAAAACAATCAAACTTTTAAATTAAAAACCGTTTTTAAGAAACATTTGAGGAAAATGTGGAAAAATTAATTCAGGACATTTCTCGGTATTTAGTGCTAAAGACATTTTTGACTAAACCGTAAGAAATCCACCTTAAATCTAAAGGTGGAGAACTCAGTGACTTGCGTTAATTGATGGATTTTTCCTTTTACTTTACATCACACAATCACAACAGCTGAAATCCATTTAGGTTAAATTAGCATGTGGCTAAAGAAGATCTCTAGAAGCTGTATTTCTATATTACCGGTATATTAATAGACATATCTTAAATTATAATAGCTCTGTCCTGTATGAAAAAGATGTTTATTAAGTTACTTACAGTAAATCTCTCTCACATAAAGCAGTTTCAGCAGTTTTATCCTTGACATTTTCAGTACCTTCCAGAATGAGCTGTTTCAGGGCTCTGTCACTTTAAGAAAAAAAGCTGGAGATGGCCACACCTACCCCCCCCCCCCCACCCCCCCCACCCACTCAGGCTGCTATAAGCTGAAAAGCTCTGACATTCTGGAGGGGCTTGAAGTAGAGCCGCTGCTTCTCCAGCAGGTAGGAAAGGTGGTTCTGTTTGTGACATCACAAACAGGGACTTTTTGAAACAGCACGTTTTAGGCACATAATTACTAAAACCAAACACTGGCAGAAAATGGATGGATGGTTTTTGTCACACTTGGAGGGCTTATAGAGGCAGTAGAGACCCTCGTGGCAGCACAAATGATGCAAAACGTGAGTTTTGTGTAATAAGTCCACTTTAATAAAACCATTATTAAACTATTATGTCAAATTAAGCAGCTAGACTTCTGCTTGGTGCAATAAGACAATATTGTAACGGCTGTAAAAAAAAAACAAGTTTGTTGTGTGGAATGCTACCATCAGGATTACTCACACAGCCTGCTCATCCAGCTCGTCCCCGATACGTCCAGACATGTCCTTTAGGACTCTGATGCTGCCCGTCACCAAATCCAGCTGTTCATCCTGCTCCTGTATTATCAACTTCACACACACACGCACACACGCACACACACACACACACACACACACACACACACGCACGCGCACGCGCACACGCACACGCACACACACACACACACACGTTCAAAACTCAGGATTCCCCCCAGAAAACTTGCTAAGCCCAGCGAACTGTGATAGCGCGGGTGTGTGTGTGTGTGTGTGGGGGGGGGGGGGGTCGTTTGCTACTATGCCTCGTCCGTGAAGGGGGGATTGCGCTCGGATTGTTCTGCTACCAGGAGAGGGCGGGCACTTGGACGCCTGGCCTGGCGGGGTAAAAAGCAGGGCTTATGAAGGTCTGGAGGAAACCCTGAAACTTCAAACTTCTTCATTCTCATATTTACAGACCAGCGCAAATTTGAAAACATGAGGTCTGCATCGTTTCACACCAAATCAACGAGCCGCAAACAGAAAAAGAAAATCAGTAAGAAATAAAGATATTACTGTTGTTAAATCACAAAGGTTTGAACTAGCTGTTGGGTTTTTCTTCTCATTTTGTACCAAAACCCACAACCTGACAGGATGTGTGACGGGACGCTTGTATCACTCACCACTGCAGTCAACCCACAGCACAGGAAGCACAAACTAAACCTTCATTCAACCCGACGCAGAAGACTCCTTTTCTTTATTGAGAGAACACGGAGCCATGCTAACCTGCAGAATGAGCCCAAAGCGCTCAGATCATCTTTATTCGACACGTAGCCGACGCATTTTCTCTCCCTTTCCTTACATTTTTTATCACTATTTTTTTCCTCATTTAAACATGCTTCTCAATCATTTTTTAAATCTTTTTTGTATTTACATTTTTTGGTTTTTGTGAAGCGCCTGGTGATTTTTATCTTGAGAGGCGCTACATAAAAGATCGTTTTCTTGCTTTCTAGCATTAACTCCCAAGCTTTATTGTGATTGGATTGTTTGATTTAAACGTTTCACAAATCAGATTCAATAGGATTTTCTCCAAGAACTCAGTTTCATGGCACTCAGTCATTATTTAGTTGATAAAAATAAAAGCCAAAACGCAAAATGAGCATAAAAAAACTATCATTAAATCATGATATAGAAGCCTTAAGACATATTTAGCAGCAGTAACCAACTTCTATAGAACCTCAGCCCCTTCATTCAGCAGAATTATCATTTTAAACCCTAAAATTCCCACAAAAAACACACAAAGGTACCCACCCCCCATTTATTATATAGCTTTTTTCCGTTTTAAATGTTGCTTTAATACTCGAGCTTCTTCTCTTCCTCTCATCCATCTACCTGTTGCTGCTCCTGTTGCTCCTGAATGTATCTGGAGTTGGCCGACACCAGATGAGCCTCCAGTCCTGTTGATCGTTCTTGGCCCTTTGACGTCAGCCCGAAAACACAAACAGAAGACACGGTCAACGGATTCCAACATACAGAGACGTACAGGGAGCTGAATCTTTACAAAGTGTGTGTGTGTGTGTGTGTGTTCTGCATTTAAGGGTTTTCTCACCTGCTTACTTTTCTTCTCAGCCTGAGCAACGGCAGAGGGACTGGACAGCTGATCTTTCATCTCCTGCCATCCCAACACAAGACAAAAACGGGTCACAATAGGGACAGGTAAAGCCCTGCTGGGTCTAAACGGCCTCATTAATGACATTTTCTGTTGCTTTGGTCAGAATCTGCTGTCGGAAAGCCAAAATGTCAAAAAGTGGTTTGTTCCCTCTCAGCAAAAGTCGAGTGACTAAGTCCTGCTCGGGTTCCTTTACAGAGACGGACTCCTATTATCTGTGTGGACAGACGGACACTCATTCAGCTTCAGGCATCAAACCATCGGGCCTGGTTACAATAAAAACAACAGTGAGAGCAAATTAAGTTTTGTTTTCCTTGAAGGCGGAAGCTTCAGCTTGTGTTCGTCCCAGCAGGGCCTCGGCTGCTAAAACACATAAAGACCTTTCTGATAACAGGGTGCTTTCCTCAGCTCAAACAAACTGACTTGAAGGAACTGAAAATCTAAATTTACTGTTTAAAATCAAATTTAAAACACACATTTACATTACTGAAACCCCTCTCACTTTTATGAACTTGTTTTTAAAAAACATGCACAAGTAACCGTACAGGGAGCCCAAGTCACACCCATCTACTTCTGCACCACGGGGCCCCAGAAGAACGAGAAATAAAATAAATGCAAGTCAACGGGGCTAAAAACGCTATTTTCCAATTCTGCTTGTTTTGTGCCATGGATTTCACATAAGATGTCCGTGAATTTTAAAGACCCATTTTGATACCAAGAACGTGCTTATTTTCGAACTGGGCGAACGATATTTTAGGTTTTGTGTGAAAATAAGTTCAGGACTACAAATGCGCCTCATGAAAGTGACGTCATCAAACCAGACAGGGAGAAAACTGAGGGAAAATGGCTGTGAGTTCAGCAAACCTCCCACAGGAGGAAAGAACCACCAGAAATCTGGTCATTTGGGAAGTAGAAGCTACGCTAGGGGAGAGGAGATTATGTGGTGACGTCACATATGCGACGTGCTGATTTCTGGTGTGTAGTCAATGCTAATTACGAACGTCCACAAGCTGATAAAACTCAAAGTACGTGACTGGCGTGGTCGAAACACCCATCGTTACTTTTAATTTAAATTGCAGTACAACATATGAGCGATCCAGGGCCTAAGGCGAAGCGGATTCGAAAATGGCTCTTTTTAGCCCCGTTGACTTGCATTCATTTTATCGTTCTTCCCCATGAGCCGACCAGAAAGGGTGGAGACTTAAGCCTGGTTCATGCTTCTCCGTCAGCTCCGCAAGACACAGACACGCACGGATTGACGGAAGCGTTTTGCTCTCATGCTTCTCCGCCTCCTGGAGAGTGTTGCAAAGCAATTCCCCTCCAGGACAACAGAGGGCGTAGCGCTGTTCTGTGGTATCCTGTCACGTATCGGTCCAATATAGTAGGTTTACATTGTGGTTTTCTTTGTATATATGAGACTTTTAACACGGATAAATTTGTCTCTCGTCCTCCTCCACCTCTTCATGCGCTCCCCACCTCTAAACCCACGTTTCCTGTCATTTCCGTCCACAAATAAAACGCTTGCTGCGCATCTTTTCACTCCTCCAGTCACAGGGAATTAAACGTTCGTGTTTTTAGAGTTTTTTCGAGAGATCTTCTTCAAGCTGCTCCGTGTCTGCCGCTGGTTATCCTCGGCTCTCTTTATGTTTTTGAGGGCACAATGGCGGCGGTGTAGACGACAGCGGCGTCCTGACCAATCACAGGCTTGCGTTGTCTGTCTCGACGGACGGATGTTTAGAAAAGAGAGCTCGACTCCGTGCGTCCGTGCGGAGCTCTCCAGCAGGCCCGGAAGGACGGATAATGGCGTTACGCGTCTCCGCTCTGACGCAGACGGAGAAGCATGAATCAGGCTTTAGGCTCCCTATGGGCTCTACCGACTGATGTAAACAACAGTCACACAAAAACACCAAATCAAAACAACTTTTACTTTACAGATTTTTTAAAATAAGCTTATTTCCTGATCACAACAAAAGGTCACAACAGAATATCGCTGTGCTAATCCAACGATTTCCATAAGTTTGAACACAAAACAAGAATGACCTGAACGGACGTCCTGGTTTGCTCCACGAAGGCTCGCCTCTCCTGAAGCTCATTGTCCCCGAGCTTGAACTTTCCTGGATTTGACTCCACAATACCTGATCCAGTCAAAGTCCCAAATGAAACAAGCCAACACAGTTTGAACCTAAAAGCCCTCATGTGTCTAACTAACCAAACATCTTTAAAGAGCTAAAACCAACTATCAGAATCAATTATTAAGATGTTTTTTTTTTTCAAAAACAGAATGAGGACAAAAAAATGTTTTTAATCAATCTACCCTCTGAAAATATTTACTTAAAATCATTTCTCTTTTGGGCTTATTATGCAAGTGGAAATGATTTCAGTCTTTTGAAAGGTCATAAAACCAACAGAAAACTAGCAGAAGGGGAAAAAAAAGAGTTGAACATAAATCATTTGTTTCAATATAACTGATGGACAAAGATCAGGACTAGAGATCTACTCATGTAGAAAAGATACTGATAGTTTCACTGAGGTCCTCCAGGTCCCAGTCTATGGCCCTCAGACAGTTCCTCAGCTCATTGGCACTCCAGTCCAGCTCGTCTCGACTCACCTGAGGCCACAAACACAAAATGACGCCCGATTTTGGTTATCAGTCGTTTTTATATTTTTACACATTTCTCTAGTCACCTCTGTATATTGCATTTCACAAGTGCTTCAAAAAGTTGTTTAAACTTCAGCAGCCATTCATTTCACTTATTGGCAATTGTATAATAGTCAAGTGTTACTAACTGCACATGCATTTCTCTCCCATGTATAGTTATAGTTGGGATTGTGTTTCACATTTTGTAGATGTGCTCATGGAGATTTTAGGATCCTTTACACTTAGGTTTATAATGAGCTATGAGTGGTTTGAATTCTAAACAAAATAAACGTTTTCCGAGGCTCACCTGAGTCCCTTCCTGCAGAAGTTCCTCCCATCTGTCAAACAGACTCCGAGCTCGGGAGAGAGCCTTCTGTACCTCCCTGGAAAACACAACACACACGTGAATGTTATCAGGCAGACAGATATTATCACCCCCTCCACACACACACACACACACACACACACACACACACGCACACACACACACACACACACACACACGCACACACACACACACACACACACACACACACACACACACACACACACACACACACACACACACACACAACTATGCAGCCTCGCCTCTCGCCATTTCAAAGTTCAAACCCAGTTTTTCTTCATTATTTTCCCAACAAACTAATAAATAAGCCAGGTGTGGTTTTTGTTGAAAGTAGTTTTATGCAATAAACGAATCCGATATTGCTCTTCACGTCTTTAAAAAAATCTTTACAAAAATAAACACAGCTAATGCCCTGACGCTAGTTAGCTACAGCTAGCCCATGAGCTAATTTTCCTGGTATATCTTTTGAAAAAAGATCTCCACGTGTCACTGTGTAGTTAAAACGAACCGAACACATTTTATGAAGTAACAACTCTAACGGATAATGTCGTTTTTAGGCTTAAATGATGTATTTCTTACCCCTTCACAACGAAAAATGGGTCTTCTATCGACATTGCTTCCTTCTTCTGTTTGCAACGCGCATGCGCTAGATTTAAGACGTTCTTATGTGCCGGTGTTGTGCCATAAATCGACTCACTGCCAAAAAATGATTAGCTTAGTTTTGTCCAGTTCGGAAGTTGTTTTAAGTGTTGCTATTTGTCTTAAACGTTCACAATGAGGATATATTAATCCTTTTTGCAATATTTGCGATTGAAAGATGGTTTGTGGTAAGAACTGGCTTTCTTTATGTTACAGCCTTGATACTAAAAAAATAAATAAACAATGTAAAATGGCGCCCTGTATTGAATGTAAACGTTGTATAAATGTAAATAAACAATTCTCCAGCGATTTGATTTTTTCCCCTTCCTTTCTTTAGTGGCTAATCATTTTTTGGCAGCGAGTCGATTTATGGCACAACACCGGAACGTGGGATTAAGACAATAAAAGCCCCAAACGAGACCTGCCAGGACCTGGAACAGACAACGGATTTCAGAACACAGTTTAAACGACTGAATAAAATATAAACCAATGATTAATTTCTATAGATATATGTGTTAAAATCATTGCACATATATAAATATGAATGCACTCAACGTTTGTAAAAATAAAATAAATAAAAACAACGTATTTAATTATGAACATTCACTATCAATATGTCTATTATATATTTAATAGTTCACTTGAAAAACATCACTTTTTTTAATTTGTAGCTTTTAAATGTAATTGTATATTTTACAAGTTACAAAAACCCTCTTGTAAGTAACTTCAGTCTTTCAGTCCTGATTGAATTTGCTTGTGATCTGTTTTCACATCAAAAGGAAAGTAAGTGCCGCTGAGAAGAAAAAGAAAAAGTCTGCATGCTCAGCGGATCCTCCAAAGTCCTGCCCACAAGTAATTTCTTTCTCTGTGCAGTTTTTCCCATCCTGTCCCACCCATTTGTCTTTGTTCCTGTGGGGGTTTCCTTCAATCAACACTCTTGCCCAACACCTTCCTTCCTGTCCTCATCCTGTTTCCTCCTTCTCCAGTCCAAAGCCCCCCCCCCCCCCCCCCATCCTGTCCTGTGAAAATTCACAGCTCAAGTTAAAAACATTTAAAAATGAAGCCTTGACACACTTTCAACTAAAATAGTCAGAAACTTATTTTTAACCCGGAGGCAGGCGTTGCAGATTTGCAACGTTAAAACCTGCCTACCTGGTTACTCCACATACGTATTTCATGAGCATTTTTAACTCAGAAGTACTCCTGAAGGACTTAGTTGTTTGTCCTTTTATCAAAACTTATTTAAAAAAATAACTCTGTCTTTGACATACTTTGATTTGCTTCTTTGGTTGGAAAACATTAATTTGTTCTTAAAGTAAGACCATCGCCATATTTACTTGTTGTTTTCATCATAATGTTGAACTCAGAGACCTCTTGGATCATCCAAAATGTTGAAAAACTAGAAAATGCAGGCAAGCAGCCGGGAAACATCTAACAAACTGCACAGGTTGAATAGTGGAGACCCATTCAAGATAGTGGCCGGCAGCGCCAGTCCATCCACAGGGCATCTGCGTACAAGATGTCTGTGTGTGGATGACAACACAGCGGGATATGGAGTCCTATTTCATGATATTCTGACATCTCACCTCTGATTGGCTAACAGCAATACTTTAGTCATTTACACATTCACACACTGATGTGATGAGCTACTCTGTAGCCACAGCTGCTCTGTGGCACACTGACAGAGACGAGGCAGTGGAGCACAGGCGCCACCGGTCTCTCCGACCACAGTGACAGCATGAAAATATTTGTCTAAGCGTCTCTTTTTGACCTTAAAGTCATTCGAATGTTTTGGTTCCAAAATTTCACATTAAGCTAAATTATCACACACACAATTTTTTTAACTCATTATTGTTTAGGTTGTGCCCTCAGCAGGGGGCCTCAGCATTTGCTTCTAAATTATGTCTAAAAATGAGGTATTTCTGATTTTAGTCGGGATAGTTGGAGCTATAAATCAATGAAATGTCAAGTCAGAATACTGGCTGGAACAAGACGACATCTGAGATGAACAAGAAGTCCTTGATCAACAAAAAAGGCGGGTACAGAGTTAACAGCCAGGGAAGAATGAGTGTAAAAATAAACCCAGTGGTGTCTCCTTGTGAGGATGGCCTACCTTCAGCATCTTGAGCCGGGAACAAGACACCACTTGCTGTCTTTTTCTTTTTTTTCAAGACAAATTCAAATCCCTGAACTGTGAAGCTCCAACTGAACAACTGAGTGAACATCTGTACAGTCACGTGTAAATCAGGTTCAACAACAATTCCTCCTTCTGATTTTATTTTTATATTTCTCCACTTCCAAGAAAACCTTCAGCCATTTTGTTTACCAGCAAGGCTCTCACCAGTTTAAGGAAGCATCGACTTATTTCCTCAGAACAACAACTTGCTGTGGCTGTGATTTTCAAACTACGGGAATTTAATCATGAAAGAACAATTAGTGTTGAGAATAGGTGATGCTTTTCTGCAAGTTTGTGCTGTAAATCAACATTAGCAGCAATACTTTAGTTTAAGAGCTAAAATTATTTATTTAAATATCTTTATCAGCTGTGTTAGAGCTTCCTTCCTGGCATGTTTCTCTAAGTAGGTCATCTGCCCTGCCAACCACTGTTTATCATATGGAGAGAAATGCTGCCTGATGAAGAATCCTGCCCCACCCTGGTTTGCACACACACACACACACACACACACACACACACACACACACACACACACACACACACACACACACACACACAAACTTCACCGCTTGATCACCCTCAGGCGGAGGCAGTGTAAAAGTATAATCACACATAACACTGTCACCATGGCAACTGTTTGAGTGCAGACCTGAAGCAAAGTCTTCTTTAGTTATAAGAATCACATAAAATACAAAAAAAAATCAGAAATCTGATCTTTGATCAGTTATCAGAACTAATCAAACATCGGACTTCTGATTATTTTGTATTTTATGTGATTCTTTTCGGTCTTAATATTTACTAGAATTTCTGAACTGTTCAGACTAAGAAAGAAAAAGATTCATGAGCATGAACTGTTTTCCCCAGCAGGAAGGAGGAAACAATTTGCCTGAAAGGTTTCTATGGTTACAAGTTTTTTACAACTTACTGAATAATTGCTTGGCGGTACAACAGGTGTGACTGGTGCACTAATCGAAAGGTGACATCACACATGGTTACTGTTGTGTGTAAACACACACTTGTTCATCTTAAAAGTTAAAAGGATAAGCTGATGTCTTTTTTAAAGATAATACCAGCTGGTTGTAACTTTAACATTGATTGATGAAGCACATTTTCATACACATATAAACAATTCCTTTACTTTTACAGTTTAAAGAGGACAGAATCACTAAAAGAGCAGAATAATCAAACATATTCTGTATAAATGTGGAGGGAGATGTTATCCTATTACAACTGTTTGTGATGTGGAAATAAGGCAAGATAATGTTTAAAATAAAGCAATAGCTTCAAAAACAGACGTCTGACATCTCACAGGACGTCTGTATATGTAATCTGATTACTTTACTAATTGATTTGTTTCACAAAACGTAATAACATCAGCAAGGACAATTTAATGCAAAGTGAGCAAATGGAAAATCATCTCATTATTATTATTATATGGTTGTAATAATAATAACAATAATAATAAAATACATTACTTAATACATGGGCGTTTCTTCGCTTTAATGATAACCCCGTTTCCAGTGCTTGTTATTTTTCTGCAGATTTGTTTTTTTTTTTTTTGCTGATCTTAAACAAATTCATCCTTAAAGCGCTTTGAAGCTGCAAGGTCAGGCTTCTTCCTGTTGACCTCAGCCGTTCCGCTGTTTGATAACCCCTAAACACACCGGTGAGAACTCCTAATATGGAGCGCGTGTGACGCAATCATCTGCTCTGAGCACGCGGCCACGAAGAGAGAGAGAGGAGGAGCTGCGGTTGCGCGTTCACGTCATGGCTTTTCCACTGAGCGCGTTCCCTCCTCCCTCGGGGTTTCTTTTTACTAACGTAACGGATGGTCCATATAAGGTGTGTGTGTGTGTGTGTGTGTGTGTGAGAGAGAGAGAGAGAGAGAGAGAGAGAGAGAGAGAGGGAGAGAGGAGCAAAAAGTCCCGAGTAACTGGATTCGTTTTCTTCCCACGTAAATTCTTCGAACTTCCATTTTTTTTTTTTTTTTACCAGAATGTAAATAGAAACTGACACACTCTCAGCACGGGACTGAACTAGTTCACCTTTTCCTTTGTTTGTAGAGCGTTTGAAGTTATTCACATTCTAGTAAAACACTTCCTTAAACACTGACTCCATTATTCTACTAATTAATTATAACTATATTATTATTATCATTATCATCATCATCATCATCATTATTATTGTTGTTGTTGATATTATTATTATTATTGTTGTTGTTGTTGTTATTGTTGCGAGTCTACCATCTTCTGGAGGAAACTAAATAGAATAGACTTTATTAATCCCACACTGGGAAATTCAAACACAAAGACTTAAAGAAAAGGAAGAAGAGAAATAATAACAACATTCTAGGTAAACACACAAAGGCAGTAAGCTGTTATTGTGACCTTCAACCACCAAATACAAAAAATAAAAAGGAAAAAATCCTTCTGACTATTTCAAATGAGCCATGATACATTTTGATTGTTACAGAAAATGAGGAAGACAAAAATGTTAAATTGAAGATAAAACGAGTCGCCACCAGCACAAAAAAAAAAAAAAAAACTAAAATCGTCAGACGGAACAGATGGTGCGTCTGTGCGCGTGCGTGGGTGTTAGGGGGTGTTGCTACAGCAGGTGTGGGCGGCGCCTGCTAGTCTTGTCACTTACTGAGGAATGAAGTTCACTTTACGTCATAGCAGAAATAAAACGCCGCCCTTCTACTCGCGTACTCTCATTTCTCCGAACACAACAGCTGGTGACCAGCTGAAGTCCGGACTGAGATTAGATTAGGAGCCAGAGGCAAAAAGTCTCATTCAGAACAGAAAAGACTCTTCGCTTTTTGCTCAAAGTGCCAAAACGACCGTGCGTAATTACGCGTAAAACACAGCAATGAGTGCCATAACAGCAATGGACGTGAACGTTGAAGCCAAGCGGATTCTGGCCGTATCGATCAGCAAACTGTACGCCTCCAGGACCCAGAGAGGAGGACTGAGACTACACCGGAGCCTCCTGCTCTCTTTGGTCATGAGGTCCGCCCGAGACATCTATCACTCCTCTCGGGAGAGCGAGGCGCCGATCGCGGCCGCTCCAGAGGAGCCGATGGACACCAGCTCCCGAGCGGAGGAGCAAACTCAGCTCCCTGAGCCCGAATCTGAGCCCCAGCCGGTCGCGAACGGAGCAGAGGCTGCCTCGGAGGTGTCGGACAGCCGTGAGGAAGAGAGCGACGGTGAAACCACCGAGGACAAGGAGAACGTGAGCCCGACAAGGCAGTCCAGGAAACGCCGGGGCAAGGCGTCGGCGGCGCCTGACTTCCTTCCCAGCAAGAGGGCGAGACTGGAGCCCGGAGAGGAGAGGTATGCGGCTCCGTTGGGCAGCTGTCGCACCATGGCTGGGGAGTCCCTGACCACTCTGTCTCTAAACCGGGTTATACCTGCGTTCTGAACGGACTGAGCGGCCGATCAACAGAACTTTATTTTGAGAGGAGTAATCCTCAACTCCTTGTCAGCCAAAGCACAAGGAGCTGACCTACATCAGCGGTCCCGGGACGAAGGGATTACAGGTGCCGTGAAGCGAGCTCGGTGCGCCTGCCTGCCTGGGCTGGTCCGAGCCCCGGGCAGACACAGAAGGAGAGGTAACTGGAGCTGCGGCCGGAAAGTTTGAGGAAGAAACAGCAGAGAAACTGGTTCTGTTGCCTGTCGTTTCCCGATGACTCATCACCAGTTCAACGACTCCACACAAGTGACTAGTGCTGAGTCAAAATGTGTGCAGAGGTGAATCAGAGACGTGATAAACAGATGACCACAAGCCAACACATGATCTCACACACACATGAAGCTGGGACTCCTGGGAATTTCCTGTTCTCATAACCAGAAACCAGTCACTGACACTGAAAGAGGAAGAGTTTTCTCACACATCCGCTGCTGCTGTGGACTTCACTACTGCTGCCAGGCTGTCTTACACACTGATTCACACGCATCAGAACATTTTGTGTCTTTATGGTCACTGAAGTCATCTTGTTTGTGTTTGACCTGTGAAAAAAACCACTATACCTCACATTTCAAGCTGCTTCTCATTGGTATGTGACAAAATTAATGTAAATATGTGTAATAAACCAGTTGAAAGGGTGATGAGTTCTGTGTCAGTTTTTGAACTCTTCTGAATGCTCACACGTTTAAACAACATCCTGTGTAAAATGATCTGAGTCATAGGGTCAATCCTTTATTACAGGGAGGAAGCTGGTGCTACCTGGTGCCAGGGTGACTAGTTGTGGTTAATCTCCTCCTGCACACAAACGGCTTACCTCACCGAAGCATTTCCTGTGGATTAGAACATAACTGAATCACGTCCTTCCTCTCTTTTATGACCCTATGCTGATTTTATGGGTAAATACTACAAAAAAAAAAAAGATTTCTGCAACATAACAGGAGCCGGATCCAATCTTTTTACAAAACCTCTGAAACGGAACTCATTAGTTTCCTACAATTCATCCTACTGACATCTAATTACATAATAATCCTTTAATCAAGTGACAAAAGATCTCGATGTCAGCCCACCAATTGTCCTCCCATTGGGAGAAAATGACTCATTGCTGGTTAAATTTTATCACGGTGATGCTAACATGACAACATTGCCAACAGTGAAAAACATGCACTGCTATCTGCCTTAAAGATGACCTCACGAGAAAAACCAAACAGATGATAGATGAATCCTTGCTTTGCTCTTGAAGCAATTCATCACAGAAGTTTTTAAAACTGATCTCTGCTTATGAAATGAATACAGCTGGTTTAACGGCTTGTGGTGTAAAGATACTGTTGGGTTAAGTTGCTTAAACGTCCAGCCGCCACACATCAACCCCATCTTAAAGGTTCAATAAATATGAATTTTACAATGAAATAAAGCACAAACTGTCAAAGGTGTCAGTGATGTTGGATGAAGGCTTCACTGAAACAGATTTCGTTCTCAGCCGACTAGGTGGAGGTCAGGTTTTCTCCTTTCAAAAAGGCCAAAGAGGGACGTAGTCTTTGTTTACAATATTTGAGCCCGAGGGTTGCCGAGTCTGGCGAGCACTGCTGTGCTGACATTTCTTATTCGACACCAGCCAGAAAAAAAACAGAGTGGTGGACAGTAGTAAATAGGAGCGACCCAGATGTTATTTCCTGTAAAGCCTGATTTATGCTTCTCCGTCTGTGCGGAGACACGCAACGCCATTATCCGTCCTTGCGTAGGGCTCCGGCAGGCACGCAAGTACGTACGGAGTCGAGCCCACTTTTGTAAACATCCGTTGAACGAGACGGATTACGCAAGCTTGTGATTGGTCAGGACGCCGCTGTTGTTTACAGCGCCGCCATTGCAAAGAGAGCCGAGGATAACTAGCGGCAGACACAGAGAAGCTTGAAGAATACCTCGCGAAAAAACTAAAAATATGAAAGTTTCATCCTCCCGTGACTGGAGGAGTGAAAAGATGTGCAGCAAGCGTTTTATTTGTGGACGGAAATGACAGGAAACGTGGGTTTAGAGGTGGGGAGCGCATGAAGAGGTGGAGGAGAATGAGAGACAAATATGTCCGTGTTAAAAGTCTCTTATATACACAAAAACACAATATAAACACACTATCTTGGACCGATACATGACAGGACACCACAGAACAGCGCTACGCCCTCTGTTGTCCTGGCGGGGAATTGCTTTGCAACACTCTCCAGGAGACGGAGAAGCATGAAAGCAAAACGCTTCCGTCAATCCGTGCGTGTCTGTCCCTTGCGGAGCTGACGGAGAAGCATGAACCAGGCTTAACTCTAAGAATCCTCGGCATCTTTAGAAGGCTAGATGCTAGCATTGAGCTAACAGTTCTAAAAGTGAGTTAGAAACAAATAGTCGGCTCTAACAAAATTTGAAGCTACTTTCTAAAATTACCAACATATTGATTTGACAGTGAAATGTGTTTATTTTCTGCTCTGGTTACCTCAGCTACGGATGTTTCACCGGTAATGAGGTACTTTTTTATTTTACTAAAAGCTGAAAATCTGCTTTTATTTTAAAAGTTTCCAGATCGTGTCTTTCTGACACGTCTGGGATTTGCTTAAAATGTGATACTTGGCAGCTGGTGGAATCGCAGCCTTCCACTTTAACAGCAGCTAAAGCCTGATTTACACTTGTCCTTCAGCTCAAGCGCAGAGTCGTGCACATGCATTGACGGAGATGTGATCCCTTCAAACTTTTCCATCATCTTGGGAGTGCTGCAAAGCAATTCCCTGCCAGGACAATAGAGGGCGTAGCACTTTTTAGGGGTATCCTGCCACCATTACAGTCACGTATCTGGTTCAAAGACATTGTATTTACTATTGTCTTTACATTGTTTTTATGTATTTCAGAGACTTTTAACACAACGTAATTTGTCCCTCATTCTCCTCCACCCTCTTCATGCGATCGACACTTCTAAACCCAGGTTTCCCCACCATTTCCACCCATAAATAAAAGCGTGCTGTGTATCCTTGTACACGTTCAGTCACGGGTGAATAAACGTTAATAAAAAAAATAAAATGTTCCGTGTCTGCTGCTAAATATCTTATTTTTTGATTGGGCAATGGTGCTGTTGACAAATTTAAAGGAAGCGACCTCCTGACCAATCACTTCCGTACTCGTCACTTTCAACGGATCGTTAAAAAGTTGGGCACGTCTCTGTCAGCCTCTGGGAACCCGTCAGAGAGCACTTGCGCCGACACATAATGGGGTATTGCGTGTTTCTGTACCCACGCAGACAGGAGAAGTATAAATCAGGCTTACCCTTCTGGATGAAAACCTGTTTTTAGATCCGTGGGTGTTTGATAGTAGATGATGGTGCCTTCTATCCATTACATTTCAGAAGAATACAAAGCATCAGTTTTAACTTTCTTTACAGATTCAATCATTATGTTATAATCATCATCTTTATTTCTCGCACATCTCCTGTGCTTTTACATAAATGTTTGCTTTTAAATCAATATTAACCAAATATTTCAAATTGCAACAAAGACAAGAGAAAAAGCAGTAAAATTAGATAATTTGTAGAATACAGTGATGAAGAGAAGCAGTAATTAAAGAGACAATGTGTAGTTTTATACCCTTAATTTCTGGAAATATCCATCAAAATGAATGAAATGATGCCCAGTTGTTGAAAAATATTGGAGACTTCGTAACACCATAAAAATCAGGTTAAAATACATAGGAGCGGTTCCAAGTCTCTGGGTGACATCATTTTAGATTCCATGTTTCCTTCTACAGGAGCCTATGAGGACAAAATGCATTTACTGATTTGTCACAAACGGTTACAAAACTGTCATCATTCTTAAATGTTGTTGTTTTACACATTTACCTCTTCACTTGTTGCCAGTGAAGAAAGGGAGTTTGGTGTGCTTGTTATTTTGCAAAAATTTGCACTCCCCAGGCCTTTTTGACCCTAATGGGCATTTGTTGGTAAGGTCTTACTCCAACACAAAAATACTGCTTGCTCGCAACAATTTAGGTACCTGCTGCCCCCTATTGCCAGTAAAAATACACACCGTCACTTTAAGATATAAAAAAAGGCTTTTTAGTCTTTGGTTTAAATGTGACCTTTTTTTTCTGTCTGTGTTAAAAATCTTTAGTTGCTGATTAAAAAAAACAATTTAAGTCTTGTAGAAATTATGGCTTTGTTGTTTTCACACACGGCCTCACTGCGTAAACATTTGAAAACAGCTTCAGGATTTGGGTTTAAACCGAATCACCTCCATCAGGTAGACGTGCATACATGTGTGGTGGGATTCCAGCAGAACTAAAGTCGGTTCAGAGACCTTGTCGTACAGCTAATCAATTTATTCACATAAATAATCTGAGATAAAATAAAAGAGAGAAAAGAAAGCACTAATGAGAGGTTTGGGGGTTGCCAGTAATAATTACTCATAAACGTGCCATACATGATGGTCACATTTCTCTCTGCAGAGGAACAACATTCTGTCAGAAGTCACTGGTTTTAGTCCTCATGTTCACATCATTGTCATGAAGAATCTGAAGCATTGTCCCGTTTAAAACGGCCTGACCCTCTCAGAGTTTTAGATGCGTCCCGTTAATGTTGATCTGCAGGATCTGCATCGATCTGGCTCAGAGACCCAGAGCTGCACTCTGGCGGCGGGGTGATTTACAGCCGGGTACGTCACAAGTGGAACATCATGTTCCACACGACCACATAAGAACACAAAGTGTCCTTGGAGGGCCTCTCTCTCTCTCTCTCTCTCTCTCTCTCTCTCTCTCTCTCCCTCTCTCTCTCTCTCTCTCTCTGCTCTCTCTCTCTCTCTCTCTCTCTCTCTCTCTCTCTCCTCTCTCTCTCTCTCTCTCTCTCTCTCTCTCTGTCTCTCTCTCTCTCTCTGTCTCTCTCTCTCTCTCTCTCTCTCTCTCTCTCTCCTCTCTGGTCTCTCTCTCTCTCTCTGTCTCTCTCCTCTCTCTCTGTCTCTCTCTCTCGCTCTCTCTCCTCTCTCTGTCTCTCTCTCTCTCTCTCTGTCTCTCTCTCTCTCTCTGTCTCTCTCTCGCTCTCTCTCTCTCTCTGTCTCTCTCTCTCTCCTCTCTCTCTCTGTGTCTCTCTCTCTCTCTCTGTCTCTCTCTCTCTCTCTGTCTCTCTCTCTCTCTCTCTCTCTCTCTCTGTCTCTCTCTCTCTCTCTCTGTGTCTCTCTCTCTCTCCTCTCTCTGTCTCTCTCTCTCTCTCTCTCCTCTCTCTCTCTCTCTCTCTCTCTCTGTCTCTCTCTCCTCTCTCTGTCGTCTCTCTCTCTCTGTCTCTCTCTCTCTCTCTCTCTCTGTCTCTCTCTCTCTCTCTCTGTCTCTCTCTCTCTCTCTCTGTCTCTCTCTCTCCTCTCTCTCTGTCTCTCTCTCTCTCTCTCTGTCTCTCTCTCTCTCTGTCTCTCTCTCTCTCTCTTTCTCTCTCTGTCTCTCTCTCTCTCTCTCTCTCTGTCTCTCTCTCTCTCTCTCTCTCTCTCTCTTACACACACGCACGCACGCACGCACGCACGCACGCACACACACACACACACACACACACACACACACACACACACACACACACACACACACACACACACACACACAGAAACCAGCATTTCCTACAGGATAAATGGGATTTTCA